GTTCTTGGTCTTACACCTCCTCCTCCTCCCTTAGAGGGTCCGCAGCCTGTCCGGTCACAGCCACAGCTACAGCCTGCCTCCCCTTTGCCTGCTCCTTCTCCCTACGCTGGTCCGACTGGAGGTCTTACTGAGCGTCGTGAGCCTGCGTCTCGTCCTGTGTCGCCTGTTCGTACTGAGCGCGCTAGTGGTCGCGGGTCGCGTCAGCGTCCTCCTCCTGTCCCTGGCACACACCGGATGTCACTGCGTCCGTCCACTGCTCCTCTGCGTGCCCCTTTGCCTTCTCCTCCTGCTTCCTCTCTTCCTGCTCTTGCCGACCCGGAGTCGGACTCTCTTCGTGCTGCCAGTCCTACTGTCACGCGTCTCCTGGCTACTGCTGTCACTGACCCCTCCTTCGAGTCGTCTGCTGCGTCTGCCCTTGTCACTGAGCTTGTCGACTTTGCTGCGCGCTGTCGTCTAGACTACGCTGCTCGTCTTGTCACTGAGTCTGAGTCCGCCTGTCCTCCGTCCGTCGGGGGTGAGTGTGCCCTTGGCACGGACGTCCTTGAGGACAGGCAGGAGGAGTTCCAGTGTCTGGCCGCCGCTTCACCTCGTCTCGCGTCTGTACTGCTAGCCCCTGAGGGAGACCCGGATGCACCAGACATCCCGACTCCGCGCTCTTACGCGGAGGCGATAGAGGGTCCCTACTCCTCTCAGTGGCAGGCAGCTATGGATGCAGAGATGGCTTCCTGGAAGTCCACAGGCACCTACGTTGACGCTGTTCCCCCTCCTGGGGCGAACATCGTCAGTGGCATGTGGATTTTCAGGGTGAAGCGGCCGCCGGGTTCTCCGCCTGTCTTCAAGGCGCGTTACGTGGCTCGTGGCTTCAGTCAGCGGCAGGGGGTTGACTACTTTCAGACCTTCTCCCCCACCCCGAAGATGACCACTCTTCGGGTTCTGCTGCACGTTGCTGCTCACCGTGACTACGAGCTCCACTCTCTCGACTTCAGCACAGCTTTCTTACAGGGCAGCCTGCACGAGGAGATCTGGGTGCGTCGCCCATCTGGCTTCACTGGGTCTTTCCCTCCTGGTACCCAGTGGAGTCTCCGGCGTCCAGTCTACGGTCTCCGTCAGGCGCCACGTGAGTGGCACGACACACTGAGGACTACGCTCGCGGCACTTGGGTTTGCTCCTTCCACTGCCGACCCGTCGCTGTTTCTGCGCACCGACACCTCTCTGCCGCCGTTCTACATCCTCGTGTACGTCGACGACTTGGTCTTTGCCACAGCTGACACTGCTGGACTCGCCTACGTGAAGTCCGAGCTGCAGAAGAGACACACGTGCACTGACCTGGGTGAACTGCGCAGCTACCTTGGCTTGCAGATCACCCGGGACAGAGCACGCCGCACCATTACCCTGACTCAGTCACACATGGTGCAGCAGGTCCTTCAGCGCTTCGGCTTCACGTACTCCTCGCCTCAGGCCACTCCTCTGTCTACTCGCCACTCGCTCTCAGCTCTGCCTTCGGATGAGTCCGTAGAGTCGAGTGGCCCGTTTGCAGAGCTTGTTGGCTGCCTCATGTACCTGATGACCTGCACACGACCTGACCTCGCATACCCTCTTAGCATTCTTGCACGCTTTGTTGCTCCTGGGAGACACCGACCAGAGCACATGGCTGCAGCGAAGAGGGTGTTGCGCTACTTGTGCAGTACGTCGGGCATGGGGCTAGTGCTTGGAGGGCGCAGTCCAGTGGTCCTCACTGGGCACGCAGACGCTTCTTGGGCTGACGACCAGGCTACGCAGCGGTCGTCACAGGGTTACACCTTCAGCCTTGGTTCCGGCTCTGTCTCGTGGCGGGCTACCCGCTCGTCTTCTGTTCTCGGCTCCAGTTGTGAGGCTGAGATCTACGCCGGGGCCATGGCTGCTCAGGAGCTTCGCTGGCTCACCTACCTGCTGACTGACCTTGGAGAGCAGCCTCGTTCTCCTCCAGTGCTGTACGTAGACAACAAGGCCATGCTGGCCTTGTGTCGAGAGCAGCGACTGGAGCACAGAACGAAGCACATTGCTCTTCGCTACTTTCTTGCTCGTGAGCTACAGCAGCGTGGACAGCTGCGACTTGCGTACGTGGCCTCTGAGGCCAACACTGCTGATGTCTTCACCAAGGCACTTGCGCCTTGTGATCATCAGCGTTGCTGCACGCAGTTGGGTCTTGTGCCTGTCTTGCCTCACTTGCTCTCCTCTTGACCTTGCTTGTAACTTCGCATATATATACTCTTGCTCTTGTATATCTCTATATATGATCTTGCATGTGAACTGGCCTTGTGGCCTTTTGAACTTGTGCTCGGAATGCGTGGTGACTTTGTGATCCACCCTGAGCTTTGCTTTGCTTTGCTTGACTGGTCTTGTGACCCCTTGTTCTCCCCCACTTTGCCTATGGGGGTGTGTCAGAACATATAGCTTACTTGTTTGTGTAGGCTATAGTGGGGTATCCCATAGGGGGTACAACACATTAGGGTTTCCTATTTGTATTCACTTCACTTCATAGTCATTCATTCTCGTTCTTTGTTTTCACACAACTCGTCCAGGCGGTCCTGCGTGAGGTTAGTGACGCCAATATGCTCTGCCATTCCGAAGGGCGTCGGCTCGTCTTAGTCTAGGCGCAGTCGTGGCTGCACGCGTTTACGAGAGAACGCGAGGATAGCGGCTCCTAGGTGGTAAGGTGAGTGAGTCCCTTCGAGTGAAAAAACAAGAGTTGATTTCCTGGGGTGCGGAGATGCGCGGTCCGAAACGGAAAGAGGCTCTGAATACTAAGTGTTACGGGTGCAATGAATCGAAGTAGCGAGAATTGCACTAAGGTGTCAAACGAGTACAAAATGTGAGCGAAGGCGTGAGCGAACATTTATACACGAAACATGCAAACGGTAACGCGGTGCGTGCGAGCTAGCTAGTGCTAAGCTGGAAGCGAGGCTCGGGCTAGTCCCGAAGCGTAGGCCGACACGGCCAGGCCAGCAGTGCGAGGTTTGGTGAAACAGTGCGCACGAAGTCGGCGAAGCCCCGTTAGCAGTAACGGGCGAACAACGGCTGATGCTGTACGCGATGTTGCAGGGCGCGCCAAGGAATATCGAGAAATTCCTTTCAAGAGTGCAATACACCCTTACTAGTGATCGCCTTGTAAAGGCGAAATCCTGAACCTGGCATAGCCTTCCCTTTCCGGCAGCACTCATAATTCTGATCTCTGCCTCATATTCCTTTCTATGGCTGTTCATGGTCGGATCGAGAGGGTGAGCAGGCCGAGTAGGATTCTCTTCATCGCCGTAGGTTCTGGACAGTAATGAATTATGCAGCCGTTCAGACCTGGGGCTTCCGTAGCGCGATATAGGGTTTGTCATATTTTTCGGTCGTTAAATTCGCGCTTGTTCATTTCATTGCTCTAGCAGTTGTCCTTATCGCTGTTCGAACAACCCTGTCGTTAAACTCGTCCTCTCCGTGACGCCATTCTGCCATAGCTATTCATTATCCAACCACATACTTGTTTAAAAAAAATGGCATCAGGTGGTCGCGATCCGCTGCCGTTCTTCGGCCCATCCACATCCATCCCCGAACTTACCCGACTCTCGCGCCTCTCCAGCCAATCGTCTCCCGCCAGCTGTCACTGGAAGCTGTTCGACCGTCAGACTCTCTCTGAGTTGCTGTACCCGCCGGGAGACGATCGCGGACGGGTAGCCGTCTGGTCGCTTAAGATCTCGCCGTCAGGCAAACGGCTAGCCGTCATATGGGGTTCGACAGTTACTATTCTGTCGCATTATGACGGGTATTCGGCTCCCGTCGGCAGCTTCAGCATTCCGTCAGGTACTATTCCGTCAGGTCTGTCTATTTGTAACCATTCCGTCAGTTCTGTTGAAGTGTTAGTTTTCCGTCTGTTCAGTTCTTGTGCTTATAGGGTTCAGTTCTTGGTAATGATTTCTAGTGCATGACTTCCTGCAATGCGTGATGCGGTCTTTTTGCATTGGCATGAACGTCTGGGATCGCACTATTTCGTGTCAGGTTGTGTTTATGGTGACTACGTCAGTAGTTCCTTGGTGTATATTTGTCGTAGATTCTCGTAGCTTTGTCCACTTGCCAGCATCGCCGTTTTGAATGTTTCATGATAATGTTGTTTTCGTTGCATTTCGTTATGATGCATGATCAGGCAGAGAAAGGGTTACCACAACGATCAGTGTAACCGCGGAGTGGAGCGACGACGAGAGGGTCCTCGCTGTGATTGGTTCCCACGCTCTCTGGTTGCTGGATGCACAGGGGCTGCTGCTCGGCGAATTGGCCGCTGCCACGTGGCAGCCTCGGGGATCCACCGTTGCAGGCTGTGTCCTTCGATCTGCACACGACTCGGAGCCTGACACTGGAGTGAAATCGTTCAGGTAAGCTTGCCAGTGCATTACCAGTGCACTGAAAACTTCAAGGTAAGGGGTCGGGTCCCTTTCTCACATTTACACTTGAGGAGCCTCAGAAGGCTGGGTCCTACGATTGGCACACGATTCAGAGCCTGACTGACAGTGGAATGAAATCTCTTAGGTATGAAGTCCGGTTTCTTACACACGTTCCTTCCCCTAGCCTCCCCCCCTCGTTTTGCCCTCAAACGCCATGAAAATCCATCCCGTCACCCATTGTTTCAATTCTAGGTTGACTCTTTTCATGTCTTTCCTCCCTCCCACCCTCTTCTCTCCCTTCCGTTCCTCCCACCCTTCCACCCACCCAACCACAATGCCTAAAACATCACTTTGGTCTGGTCCCACCCCCGCCCGCCTCTACTTACCCACAATTCCCCTCCCACTCTGAGTGCCACACGGTCTTGTTCATTCCTCACAACCACAACCCCCTCCCAACCACAGTGCCTATGAAATCATTCTGCTCCTGTCCCACACTCGCCCGCGCCTCTGGCGAGCTACAGGCTCCCACTCTGAGTCACCCTATTTTCCTCTTTCTTCCCAACCACTCCCCCTCCCCCCATTCCCCCAACCACAGTGCCTATGAAATCATTCTGCTCCTGTCCCACCCTCGCCCGCGCCTCTGGCGAGCTACAGTCTCTCTCCCACTGCCTCCCTCTGGCGAGCTCGGGGCGAGTTCAGGAGTTTCAGGTGTTTCTTCAGGTGCTGCGTCAGGAGCCTGGGGTGCGCGATCAATGAGAGTGAAGGCGAGGGGGAGGGCGTATCTGCTGGAGGGCAGGCATCAGGGGAGCGTGGTTCGCGCGGACTTTCATCCAGTGCTGAGCCTGCTTGCAGTGGCCGGCATATGCCCCTCTGGTGAGTAGAACTTGAGTTGAGACCCGCCCAGGTGAAGGCTAGGGGAAGGGCGTATCTGCTGGAGGGGGAGTGTTGCTCGCGCGGACTTTCATCCAGTGCTGAGTCTCCTTGCTGTGGCCGGCATTTGCCCCTCTGGTGAGTAGATACCTGTCCAGGTAGAGCCTGGATAACCCCCCCCTCTTTGGAACTTTCACCTCGTGCTGAGTCTCCTTGCTAGGGCCAGCTGCCAGCATATGTCCCTGAGGCTTCTGCCTTTGCTGTTTTGAGACGTCTCAAACCAACTCTTCTATCGCCAGCATATGTGCCCTCAGGTAAGACCCTTCTGCCTGTGCTCAGCATACGTCCCTCCTCTTGTCCATCTGGCATATCCCCGACCCGCTCCTCCCGCTTCTCCCGCCCCTCTTCCTCTTCCACCTGCTCTTCCCCCTTCTCATCCCCTTTTTCGATCCTTTTCCTCCCCTGTCCGCTCTGGCCCTCTCTTTCATCACCACGCGCTCTGCTCGCCTGTGCTTCTCTTCTCCCCACCCCCCCTTTTTCTCTCTTGCAGTTGGCAAATCGTTTCCACACGCCCTCCCACGTCCCTCCTCCTATCCATATGGAACATCCCCGACCGACCCGCACCACCCCTTGCTCCCGCCCTCCTTCCTCTGCCTCCAAAGCTTCTCAGATTGTCATTTCCCCCTTCTTGTTCCTTTTCCCCCCCGTTCTTCCTCTGCAGTTGGCAAACCATCCTCCACGCGGCCCCCCACGTCCCTCCTCCTGTCCATATGGCACATCCCGGACCCGCACCACCCCCTCCTCCCGCCCTCCTTCCTCTGCCTCCTCCGCTTCGCCCCTCCTCCCCTCCACCCTCCCCAATCCAAACCCTCTCGCTCCAGAACCCCAGGCTCGGGCTCCTCTCTAGGGTTTTGGGACGAGGGTTTAGAGGGGGATGAGGAGGAGGAAGAGGAGGAAGGGGAGGAGGCGGTAGCAGAGGTGAGATTCTCCCCTGATGGGGGGTCACTAGCGGTGGTACACCACCGGGGGGTTTTGTCTCTTATGCGGATGTCGGCTAAGGATTCTGAACTCATGCTGCTGCCTAGGAGTGTGGGGAGAACTGTGGGTGTTCCCTCTGGGGCTGCGGTGGAGGAGGAAGGGAGTGTGGTGGAGAGGGGTGTGGAGGAGTGGGGTGTGATGAAGGACGGGACGGAAGAAAAGGACGGAGAGGAGGGGGTGAAGGAGAAGGGAGAGGAAGGGACACAGCAGAGGAAAGCAGTGCGGTTCCGAATGGTGCAAGGCGGTGTGGTGGATTGCGTCACCAGTGTGACTTGGCTCAGCACAGATACAATAGCAGTATCCCATCGCTCAGGGAGAGTAGCCATAGCTACAGTGCACGATTTATCCAATCTCACCGGCCCGTTCCCTCTAGTCTTCGGCCCCCGGGCGGTCCTCTGCTCGTCCAATCTCCTCATGCCACGTGGCAGCAGCAGGTCTGGAGTGTACCCGCGAGGGGTGATTGTTCTAGAGCCGGTCGCGAGACAGGTGTCGGTTCCTGATTGGGCGAGAGGGACTTTTGGAAATGTGACTGATTCTCGTGGGGAGGGAGCGCTGGAGAACGGATGGCGGGTTTTGTCTCTTGTGGAGCAGCCGGCGGCGGTTATGGTGCGGGTGTTAACTGAGGAAGGTAGACTAGGGGATGCGCTGGGGATGGCCCGGGCGGCAGGGTTGCATTCAGATGTGGTGTTTAAGGCTGCTTGGACGAGCATGGGTGTGGGAATTTCCGCAGGAGAAGCAGCAGGCGGAGAAAGAGGAGGAAGAGGAGGAGGAGGAGGAGGAGCAGGAGTAAGTGAGAGTGGGAGGTTGTTGGGCGGAGACAGGGGGCTTGCTGTTAGAGAGGAGGAAGGGAAAGAGGCCGGGAATGACGATGCTGAGGGGAGTGAGGAGGAGAGAGAGGAGGAGGAAGAGGAGGAGGTATCAGCAATCACGGATTACTTGTCTCGAGTGTCTGACCTCCCGTGGGTGGTGAGGGAGTGTGTGAGTGTGGTGTGCGGTACTGCAAAGGGCATGGATTTGCTGTTAAGTCTGGGTCTTGGAGCCACAAGCAGTCTCAAGGAGGAAACCCTAAAAGCAGCCGCAGCAGCAGCAGCAGCAGCAGGAATCCCTGATGTGACGCTATCAGGTGTAAAGCTGGCTCTGGTACGATCCAGGTTGCAGCTTTTGTCCTTTCGTGACCGCCTACAGAGCTACCTAGCCCTCAACATGGGGCGGTACGATCCCCAACAGTACGGCGTCTTTCGTCTTCTTCCCCTCCACTCTGCCGCCCAGCGGTTCACCTCCGCCGGCCGGATCTCAGCCGTCCACATTCTGCTGCAGAGGCATCCCTTCTCACTCTCCCCTCACCTCCTCTCCCTCCTATCCTCTCTTCCAGAAACCCTCCCTCCTCACTCCTATAGAGCAATTCTCCCTGGTGCCTCCCCCTCTCCTGTTTCCCGGACCAGAGGGGCCGATTGGGTGGAAGGGCGAGGGGTGCTGCAGATGATTGGAGCAGGGTCGGCTGTAGCAGCTGCAGATTCAGCTGCTGCTGTAGCTGTTGCTGCTGGTAGTGGCGGCGGTGGTGGTGCTGCCATTGTGGCATTTGCTACAGAACAGGTGGTGTTTCTGTCTCAGGGATTTAAGTTCCCGTCCAAGCCTGCCGTTGAGGCTTGGTACCTTTCCCGAGCCAGGGAGATTGAGGAACGGACGGGCCTGCTGCAACACTCGCTCGCGCTGCTGGATCTAGGTTTGGCAGCAGGCTTGGCAGAGGTTCGGAATGCTATGGAGGACTATGCCGAGCTGAACAGAGTGGTGTATGGGGCATGCGGGGCTGATAATAAAGAGTATGAGGAAGGGAACGAGGAAGGCAGAGAGGAGGGGGGTGACGAGGCAGGGGAAGGACGGGATGACAGGAAAGAGCAGGAGGAGGAGCAGGAGGAACAGGGAGAGGGGCAACATCATCATCAGCAGCAGCAGCAGCAACAGTCTGCTCAATCTGCTTCTGTCTTCTCTGCTGTTACCCCAATTGCCCTAAAACGCGCCGAACTCACTCTTTCCATCTGGTTACAGCTCCCCATAATCCAACGGTTCAGATTTGTTCTCGGGCAGCCCCGCCCCGCATCCATCGTCTCACGCCTGCACGAGCGCGCTCTGCCAATCCTGTTCCGCCACCTGGCGTCGCCGCAGCAGGTCTGGAGCCTCCTGGAAAAATGGCTAAGGGAGGAAATCGCCCCTGTGAGAGGCAGAATGGCAGTTTTCTCCTCTGTTGTGGCTGAAATGGCTAAGGGAAAACATGGCTGTCTCTCCCTCACAACCTCGAGCCCCCCCTCTCTCTCCTCTCCTCCGCTTCCTTCCACCGGCCCTCTTCCCTCCTCTTCCGCTTCCTCTTCCTCCTCCCAGCCCTCCTCCGCATCATCCCTTCTCCCTTTCTCTCTTTCCGATCTTGCCTCTCTCTCCCTCCACTGCCTCCCTCTCTCTGCCTCTACTGATGAATGGAGCTCTATGGCTTTTCTTCTCCGAGCCATTCTAGACTCTCACAAAACTGCTGCTCTAGCAGAACAACACAGGGTTAAGTCTCCTGCTTCTGCTGCTGCTTCTGCCGCTGCTGCTGCTGCTGCTGCTGGGGGGAGGGGTAGGCGTGGTGGAGCTTCGGCCCGAGCCTCCGGCGCAGGCTTGGAGCCGCTAGGTTCGGAGCAGCAGGAGGCAGTGGCGAGCGCGCTGCTATTGGTGGAAGCTGGGGCTGTCCTTGCCACGTATGAGCTCCCCACACCCTACACCGCCCTCGTCCAATCACGCAGCGACACGTCAGCAGCCCTCCAGCTCCTCCGCAGCCTCCTCTCCGCCTTCGCCCGCCGCCAGCCGCCCCCGGAGGATCCCGATTGGCTGGATCTCTTCCGCCACGTCAGCACGCTCAAACACTCCGCGTTCCTCCCCCTTTCCCCAGACTCCCTCCCTTCGGAAATGGCCAGAGTGCTGCTAAGGGAAGGGCGATTCGCGCTAGCCAGGCAGTTTCTGAGAAGCGGGGGAAGCGGGGGGACTGGGGGGAGTGGGAGAGGAAGAGGGGGAGGGGAGGACGTGTGGTTGGAGGAAGATGCGGTGTTGAGTGAGGATCGGGTTGAAGCGCTGGTGATTGGTGCTGCCAGGAACTTCTTCTACTCCTCCCCGACACTCGACTCCCCAGATGTAAGAGTTTGCTGATTTGCTCGTGGCGTCCCGTCAATCATTCCGGCCCACCTCCCTCCCGCACCTGCTGCCCCTGCTCCTGTTCCATGCAACCCACCCAACCTCCTTCACCAACCACTCAAACTCTCCCATTTTCCCCTCCCTCTTGTGTTCCCCTCCTTTGCCTCCTTCCCTCTCCTCCCCCCCCCTCCCCCTCCTCCTCCCCTGCCTCTCCCCTCCCCTTCCCACACACCGCAGATCCACAGTGCATTCGCCTGTCTGGACATTCTCCCGCGCAGCCCAGCAGCAGCAGCGGAGAGGCAGCTCTTCTCAGCCCTTGTCATCGACCTCCCGGCGTGTGGCCTCCACCTGCTCCCAACCCGCGATCGCCTCGATATTATACACCAAGTGCTCAACCTCTGCCTCTCTGTTTCTCCACCCCTCTCTTCCACTTCCTCTGGTGTTCCCTCCCCCCCCCCTTCCCCCCCACCACCCGCAGATCCACAGCGCATTCGCCTGTCTGGACATACTCCCGCGCAACCCAGCAGCAGCAGCGGAGAGGCAGCTCTTCTCAGCTCTAGTCATCGACCTCCCAGCCTGTGGCCTCCACCTCCTCCCCCTCCACCTGCGCCAAACCCGCGACCGACTCGATATTATACACCAAGTCCTCAACCTCTGCCCGTTCCCTCCAATCTCCCTCCTCCTCACCACCACCACCACCACCTCCTCCTCTTACTCCTTCTATTCCTCCTCTTCTTACCCTTCCTCTCACGTCTCCCCTTATTCCCCCTCCTCGGCGTCCTCCCCCTTCGCTCCGGTCTTTGCCGTCGATCTTGCGAACACAGGGGCACCCGAGGTCCTCACCCTGGCATGGAAATTAGGGCTGACGTCAGCAGCGGATGAAGGGAGGGTGCTAGAAGCGGTGGCGAGAGCAGCGGCAGCAAGGGCGGATATAAGAACGGCTAGAAAGGTCGTTCAGGAGCTCATGAGTAGGAGCTATGGAGGGATATGGGATCTCTGTGCTGCTTTGGCTAGGGGACCGGCTAGTAAGGGGGGAAGGGGAGGGTTGGGAGGAGGCAGGGGTGGGGGAATGGGCAGGTTGGGGAGGCAGGGAGGGAGGCTAGGGAGTGGGATGCAGGGGCAGCTGCAAAAGGGGAAGCTGTCGCGATCGGCTGTGGAGCTGGGTGCGGGTGAGGGGAGAAGGGGTGGTGTGAGTGGGAGAGGGAGAGGCGGAGCGGGATTTGAGAGGGTGGATGGGAGTGAGGATGGGGCGATGGGTAGTGATGGTGGGAGTGTGAGCGATAGCAGCAGCAGCAGCACGAGCCTGAGCACTATGATTGGACGAACAGTTGCTTCTGCAGCTGATCTGTCTGCTGATGTTAGCGTAGATGAATCCGCCAGCAGTGCAGCAAGCACCGCTGCTGACGTGGACGCTGACGTGGATGCTGACGTGGACGACGGATCCGATGACATCAGCATGCCGATCCGGAGGGAGTTCCTAGGGTTTGCTCTGGCTCATTGCGACGAAGCTTCCCTCCCGGACCTGCTAGCCTCGTGGCAAGGCTTGGATGCCACGGAACGGTGCGTGGCGCTAGGTGCGGCGACAGGCTTGGTGGTCCCAGGCCTGCGAGAGCAGGAGGCGCTGCTCCCGGACCTAGCTGCCGGCCGAGCCTCAGGCAAGTGGGAAGGCACGGAAGTGCTGGTGGTTCCCGAAGCTGCCACTGCCCCTGCTACAGCCGGTGCTACAGCCGGCAGAAGCAGCAGCAGTAGCAAAATCCGGGGGAAGGCAGGGAGCTCAGCTGTTACTACCACCAGCACTGGAAGAAAACTGGCTAGTCTGGGTGGGGGACGGGGGGCGATCGGGAGGGACGTGGGGAGGAGGGCGCTGGCGCTGGTATCGAGTGACGGGGAGGCGTGGGGGGATAAGCAGTGGGAGGAGGTGCCTCGACTGCTGCTGCCGTTTGCCTGCCTGCACTTGCCCTGGATGCTCCAGGTGAAAACCCGCCGTGCTGCTGCTGCTGCCGCTGCTGCTGCCGCCACTGCTGCTGGGGCTGCTGCAAAAACTGGAGGGACAGCATCAGCATCAGCAGCAGCAGCAGCAGCAGGCGGAGGGGGAGTGGCAGAAGCAGCAGCAGCAGCGGATCCTATAGTGGAGCAGATAGTGGTGCTGATTCTCCACGTGCTCGCGTCCTGCCAGGTGTCGCCCTCTGATAAGCTCCTGACCGAAGCTGCCCGGAGCGCCCTAACTGCTGGGGACATAGTCTCTGCTGCGGCAGCTGCGGCCGGTCTGTGGGGGGTACCTGGAGCAGGAGTAAGGGGAGTGGGTGGCTTGTCAGGTGCTGCGTCAGGTGCTGCGTCAGGTGGTGGATCAGGTGGTAGATCAGGTGCTGCCGAGTCAGGTGCCGGGCCAGGTGGAGGGGTAAGTGCTGATGGTTCTGGAGCAGCGGAAGGGAAAGAAGTTAGCCCTACAGCCGCTGTTGCATCTGCTGAGGTGGCGGCGTGTGATTCGCTGGCGATGGCGTTTCTGCTGCAGGCTGGGGATTCAGTGCGGGCGGCAGGGGTGATCGATGCTGAGATGGCGAAGCGGGATGGGGCGGATGCAAAGAGGCGGTTCGTGCTGCTGCTGCTGCAGTTCTCGTCGCTCCATGCAACTCTCTTCCTGCTAGCTGCTCAGGTGAGTGCGCAAAGAGCATCCCAGGGGTGGGTGGGGGTGATTGATGCTGAGATGGCGAGGCGGGACGGGGCGGATGCGAAGCGGCGGTTCGTGTTGCTGCTGCTGCAGTTCTCGTCTCTTCACGCCACGCCCTTCCTGCTAGCTGCTCAGGTGAGTGCGCATGGAGCATCCCAGGGGTGGGTGGGGGTGGAAGTGATTGATGCAGAGATGGCGAAGCGGGACGGGGCAGATGCAAAGTGAGGGATGTGCTTAACAAAGTGGATGCTGCTGCAGCACAGAAGAACAGGTTCGACCTGGATCCAACAGGTGACTCGTCCTTAACAGGTATCTAGTGAGGGATGTGCTTAACAAAGTGGATGCTGCTGCTGCAATTCTCTTCTCTCCATGCCACACCCTTCCTGCTAGCTGCTCAGGTGGGAATTCAAGATTTCACGAGCATATCAGCCAAACACATCTGTCCTGTATTGATCATGCTCTCTTATGTTCCCTCCACCCCTTCGATTCAATTCCACCCGGCAGGCCAACGAGGCAGCGGTTGTGGGGTCACTGCTGCTGCTGTCTGTTGAGGCACCTTGGGTTGGCTATCCTGCTGCTGTGCTCTGCTCGTGCTGCAAGCTTCCTCCTCCTTGAACCCCCCCCCCCCCCCCCCCCCCTTTTCACGTATTCCACCTGGCAGGCTAATGAAGCAGCCTTTGTGGGGTCGCTGCTGCTGCTGTCTGTTGAGGCACCTTGGGTTGGCTATCCTCGTGTAATGAGTCATGTTTTGAGTCGACTCAAAACACGACTCATTACACGCGGATTATATGTGGAGAAATTGTTTGTGGCATGGCAAATTGGTTGTAACCCTCACAGGTTACTGGTACGCGCGCGACTTGAACCCCCCCCATCCTTTTCACGTATTCCACCCTACAGGCCAACGAGGCAGCGTTTGTGGGGCTGCTGCTGCTGCTGTACTTCTGCATATCACTCAAGCACATGTCCTCCTGTGTTGCTCCTGCTCTCTCTCTCTCTCTCTCTCTCTCTCTCTCTCTCTCTCTCTCTCTCTCTCTCTCTCTCTCTCTCTCTCTCTCTCTCTCTCTCTCTCTCTCTCTCTCTCTCTCCGCTTTCTGCCCCCACACACGTTATTCCCCCTTTCAGGCCAATGAAGCAGCGTTTGTGGGGTCGCTGCTGCTGTTGCCGCCAGTGCTGCTCGCGCGCGTGGCAGGGGAAGCTTCCAGGAAGGAGGAGCAGCTGGGGGAGACCGGAGCCCTGGGGTCCAGGCCGGCAGTCAAGAGTTCAGGTGAGTGTAGCTGTGCAAACGGTGGTGTGCGGTGCTGTGAGGTGGTGCTGACGATTTAGCCAGACACATCTGCAACCCAACTCTACATTCTCCTTACCCAATCCCCCAAACCACTTCGTCACTCTTGCAGCCTGCACATGCCAGCTGTGCAAGCGGTGGTGTGAGGTGCTGTGAGGTGGTGTGTGGTGCGGTGGCACTGACTGACTGCTCTGCCGCTCCCATCCTCCCTCTCTAACACTCAACTCCCTACTCTCTCACTCCCTCATCCCCTTTCTCTGTCTTATCCCCTTACCACGTCACAGCCCGCGCGCGCCAGCTGTGCAAGCGGTGGTGTGAGGTGGCGCTGACGATGCAGGGGCGGCTGCGAGTGGTGGAGGACACACGGGCGCTGCGCGCGCTGCTGCCCCGCGCTGATGTGGCGCGCTTCGTGACGCGTGATGTGGCATACATGGAGGCTGCTATCGCCTCATTGGTCGACGAGACCGATTCTGCTGCTGCCACTGCTGCTACTGGAGGGGCCTTGGCAGAGGCAGTGGGACCGATGCCTCACGCCCTCGCCTCTGCCCTCTCACTCGCTCAGCTCTACCACGTGGACTCCTGGCAGGTGAGGGTGGGTGCTGTTGTTACCAGTGCTGCTGGTAGGTATTGCAGCGAGCACAACAGAATGTGCTGCTGCTGCTGGGGGAGGGGCCATGGCAGAGGCAGTGGGGCCGATGCCTCATGCCCTCGCCTCTGCCCTCTCTCTAGCCCAGCTCTACCACGTGGACTCCTGGCAGGTGAGCATAGGATTGGCTGCTGTGTTGTTGACTTGACAGCTGGCAGGTGAGTGTTTAGGTCGAATGCTGTGCTGTTGACAGCCGGCGAGAGGAAATTGGTGGCGATACTTGCAGCAGCAGGTACTGCTCACTTTCGCTTCTTCTGAAACAACAGAGAATCCTGAAGAACAGGTTCTGGTGTAACATGGTTCTGAGTTACCAGCTCTTTTTTTGTCTCATGTGGTGCAGGTCCATTTGACGTACGTCCGCTCTGTGCTGCTCTCTGATTGGCCGGAGCAAGATATTGTCACTGAGGTGGAGGCACACAAAGCCGCCATCTGTACCCGTCCCACGTCAGCCTTCTCCTTCCTCTGGACCTCCGTGCTCCCCCGCTTTCTCACTCAAATACAGACAAAAACCCACACTGACACAGGGTTACACGCTCAGAAACACCCCCCCACACTCCCCACCCTCGCACCCTACCTCCTCCGCCTCCTCTCCCACTGCCTCCTCTCCTCGCTCTCCCCTCCCCCTCCTCCCTCCTGCCCTCTCACCCCCTCCCCTCCTCTCTCCCGCCCGCTCTCGCTCCCGCTCCCACCAACCCCTCTCACCGCACTCAACTCCTTTGTATCGTCAGCGCAGAGCGCAGCATCCCTTGCTCCCAGGCTCTCTCTTTTAGCAGAGCAGATTGAGAAGGCAGGGGGCCTTCAGCCTTCACTGGATGGGTGGGTGCTTCTGGGGGCGGCTGTTGCTGGTGCAGGCACAGCAGGAGCAGTTGGAGCAGCAGAAAATAAGGACATTGCTGGTGTTATGGAGGTGGAGAGAGCAGTTGAGAGGGAGATAGAGCGGTGCTTCGACGGATCCTCTGTGCTGACTGCTGCTGAGATCATCTTGTCTCTTTCTGCCGCTGCTACTGCCACTGCTGCAACAGCAACTGTGCCACATGCTGCAGGTGCTGGGTTGCCTGCTTCAGCAGGATTTCCCACAGATCCAGCCTTCCAGGACCGCTTTAATCAGAGCCACTTGCTCTGGCTCTTTGCTAAGTGCCAGTTGAGACAGGCTGGCGTGCTTGCCGACTCATATTCCCCAAAGGTTGATATGGAAGAGAGGAGGAGTGACGGGGTGGCAATTGGTGACAATAAAGGCAGCAAGGAAGACGAGAAGGAAACCGGGAAGGGAAAGAGGTTGAGTCTGGAGGGGTTGCAGTCAGCCCGTGTAGCCATGGCTGGATCTCTCTCCCTGCTCTCAGAGGAAAATCGGCGGGAATTTACGCTCCTGCTGCTGCAGGGATGTGAGCGGTGGGTTCTAGAAGCGTGCTCTGCAGGGGAAGGCAGTGGAGCGAAGAGAAGCGGGGTGAGAGGAGGTGGTCGTGGGAAGAATGGGAGGGAGCGGAGGGGTGGGAGAGGGAGGGAGGGAGGAGAGGTGCGGAGGGGTGTGGAGCTTTGGCTAGATGTTGTGGGGGATTGGATGGGGTGTCGCGGTGGGAGGTTGGACGGGGGAGAAGGGAAGGAGGATAGGGAGGAGAGGGAGGAGAAAGAAGAGTCTGTGGTGGAGTGCGGGAGATGCATTCAGAAGCTGCTGACCAATGGGGTCGTGACACGTCAGCAAGGTGTGCTACTCCTCCGGTTCCTCTCGGACTCGTTGCTGAAGACCCAATTGTCCTCGGATGAGAACAAGTCAGCTGCCACGTCAGCTGCCAGGTCAGCAGCCAGGTCAGCAGTCCATTCAGCACAAGAGACGGACCTTCAATTTCAGGGTAATTCACCCCTGAATGGAGGCAAAATCTCTCCTGCACGCGCTTTAACCCAGGCTTTAATGCGTCAGATGGTTCTCGTGGGGTGCCCCTTACTCGCCCTAGTCGCCCTAGCCCAGGCCACACACGGCCGTGACAGCTGGCAGCTGCCTATTGGTACAAACCAGCGGCGGCGTGTGCTGACGTCAGCAAGGTCAGCAGGAGCCAATCAGGGAGCGGGACGAGCAGGCGGGAAGATCGGGAGAGGAAGGGAGGTAGGAGTAACGGCAAGTGCTGCTTCCAGGAAGCTTCCTGGTGATGCGGGCAGCGAGACGGGGAGCACGGGCGGCGAACAGGAGGAGTTCGCAGTGAGTGACGTCAGCAGGGTGGCTGGTGACGCCAGCAGGGGAGGCAGGGGGACAGGGAGAGGAGTGCGCGGGCGGGGAGGGAGGGCTGGTAGGACTAGTAGGGGAGGAGGGGGGCGAAGGGGAGAGGAGGAGGAGGAGGGAGAAGGAAAGAGTGAGAAAGAGAAGGAGGAAGACCCTATGGACCTATTTGCTTCTATGGGCTTAGTTTCATCTGCTCCCCGTGCCGCTGCTGCTGGTGCTAGCAGCTTTGGCAAGCCTGAAGCTTCCAAGAAGAAGCCTCTGGTAGTCTCCAAGGCTGTTGGTAGGCTCGGGGCGTTGAGAAAGGGAGGCTCGGCAGCTTCGGCACCAGCTTCGGTAGAGCCAGAAGGTTTAGCCCCAGGCTCAATGCTTGGTTCGGTTGAATCACTCCCGGATATGGCTGCAACCGCTGCCTCAGGTGCCATTTCAGGTGATTCTTCAGGTGCCCTGTCTGTTGCAGTTTCACCCGGGGAGGGCGGGCATATGACAATGGACTTTGCAGCAGGGGCTGCTGGAGAGGAAAAATCCGTTTCCTCCCCACAGCCGAAACCCCTGACACCAATAGTTTCTCCTGCTGCTACTCCTGCTACTCCTGCCACTGCTGCGACTACTGGTGACTGTAATAAGGCTGGTGCTGGTGCCGAAGCTGCTGCAGCTGTTGCCTCTCGTCCTGAGATCAGTATTGTGGATCTGTACTTGTCGGTATTGCGAGAGCTTATGGGAGAAGGACCGCAGCTTCATGTGCATGCTTGTCCTGACCGGTTAGCTCAGGCGATTATGAGAGTGATTCTTTCACTGGTGGAGGCGAGGGAAGGGGAGGTACAGCAGGTACTGAGTGTGAGAGATGGGGGAAGTGAGAGAGAAGAGGAGGAGGAGGAGAGTGGGTGGGGGCTTGATTTATCAGGGAATGAGGAGGAAGAGGATGGGGGGGAGGATGAGGAGAGCGGGTGGGGGCATTTTGAGGTTCTTGTTTCATCTGTGCGCTCTGCTGTGTGGAGGCTGCTGGTGCGCGTGGGAACGCAGGAGGGGGAATCAGCACTGACGCTAAGTGCCACACTTAGCAGCGACACTGCTGCACACTCCCCTGTGGTGCAAAGTGCCACACTTAGAGCGGCTGTTTTGGATGCTGTGAAGGCTGTAGCTCCAGCCTCGTCTGACCTATCAGCACCTGCCACGTGGCTCTCTGGGAGAGGGTTCTTTGTGGATGCTGTAGGGCTCGGGGTGATGAGCGGTGTAGAGGGGTGCTGGGGGGTGTGGGATCTGGAAGAGGTGGGAGAGGAGGAGGAAAGATGGGTGGGAGGGGATCAGAAGGATGACGTGGCACTGGACAGGTGGCGCTGGGCGGCGCTGCGTTCCCGCGCGATCGTGCAGTCTGACTGGCCGGGAGAGCTCGCTGACGTGGCGCCGCTGCTGGATGACGTGGCAGCAGACGGCAGCTTCGGAAGCATAGGTTCGGCAGTTGAGTCATTCAAACAAACCTTCTTCATTCTGGATAGCGGCGCAAGGGGGAGGCAAACGAATGCAGTGGATACTCAAAAGCAGCAGCAGCAGCAGCAGCAGCATCGTGAGCTATCCCTCCTGGCTCTTCTGACCATATGGGACCCTCTCCTCGCTCCCAAGTGGTGCCATTCCACTGCCACCCCTGCCACCACAGCTGCTGCTGGCAATGCTGCTGGCTCTGCTAGCAATTCCGCTGCTGCTGCCACCACCACTGCTGCAGCTGGGCTGCATCCGCTGCACGAGTGCTGGTTCCTGCCTCTCCGCCGCTGCGCTCTCTTGCCCCCTGTTGTTGCGGCAGCAACACCAGCAGCAGGAGCGTCAGCAGCAGCAGGAATAGCAGGAGCAGGAGCAACAGCAGCAGCAGCGCAGGGCAGTGTGCTCGTGCCGTCGCTGCTGCTCTCTGCTCTTGACGCTGCTGCCTTCCTTCCCTCAGGCAAGAGGGCAGCAGGGCGAATGCTGCTCTCCCGAGACGAGGCAGAGCAACTTCTGGCTGATACTGCTGCTGCTGGGAACAGTAACAGTGGTAATAGGGTTACCAGCGGTATCAGCGGTAGTGGCAATGGTAACAGTGGTAATAGCAGTGCCCTAACAGCGGCCTCTCAAGCTGCTCTCTTTATGCTTAAAGTGGCTCTGTTGCTGCCGTACCCCCAGGTATGGCTGCAGTCAATGCAGCTGGTGAAAGTAGCTGCTGCTGCTGCCACTGATGCTGCTGCTGAGGCTGCTGGTGGTGGGGGTAAAGGGAGGGGTAGAGGCGGGTGGGGCGATGGGTGGGGGGGAGAGGAGGAGGAGGAGGAGGAAGAGGAGGAAGAGTATGAGGAAGAGGAGGAGGACGAGGATTCGTTTTATGATGAGGAATATAGTGATGATGATGGTGGGAGGGTGGGAGGGGGGAGGAAGAGTGGGTGGAGGGCGGGTAGGAGAGGAGGGAGGAGAGGAGGAAAGGGAGGGAAGGATCGAGGACCCTCATTGGATAATGAAGCTCTAACGCTGCTGCTAGCGGCTGATATCGTGCGACAGATGGCAGATGCTCATTCGGCGGTGGTTCGGCCGTTGCTAGGAGCTATGGCAATGGTTATCCCCCCTCTAGCGGTTCAGTTGCAAGAGGAGCGGAGGAGGGAGAGAGAGCGGGAGGAGAGAGGGGGGGTGGAGAGCGAGGAGGGGGAGGGAGGAGAGCCGGCGAGGAGGAATGGAGGTGAAGGGAGTGAGCAGGTGGAGAGTGGAGTGGGGTTTGGAGGGAGGAGGGGTGGTGGGGGTTGGAATGGGGAAGAGGATAGAGAGGAGGATGAATTGGGAGAGGGCGGTGATAAGTTTCAGGTGAGAAGTGAGCAGCAGCAGCAGGGACAGAGGAGAGGTATGCTGGGCTCACTTCTCTCTCATATCAGCGCACTCGCACCGTTGCCAACCGGGGATGATGACGATGTTGGTAAAAGTGATGATGGTGATGGGATTGGTAACAATGACAAGGAAGTGCATGGTAGGGAGTATGGCAATTACAGCAGCAGCAGGGCTGGCGGTAGCAATAAGGGTAATACCAGCAGGGAGGAAGACAGCAGCAGCAGCAGGGGAGACAGCAGCAGCAGGGGAGACACCAGCAGCAGGAAGTGCGATAGCAGCACGGTGGGGCCTCCGCCTCTCTATCGCACAGCCTTCCCCCATTTCGTCGCCTCTCTCACTGCCGCCCGGCAGTACGAGCTTGCCGCCCCTCTTGCCCTGCAGTTTCTGGGCAGGCCGACGTTTTCCCGCAACTGGGCAGCTTCCCGGGCAGCTCTGAAGGAATTTCTTGTGAGCGAGCTGAGGGCTGCGGAAGCAGCAGGATTTGGGAAGATGGGGAAAGGAGATTCCGGTATATCTAACGGGAGACGTTGGGAAGCTGAGGTTTCAAGTGGTGATAGTAAAGGGAGCGGTGGTGGTGGTGGTGGTTGTGCTAATGGTGAAGGGGAGTTGGTGTATCTGTCTGGAGCGTTGTTTCACATTGGTGTGAATCTTCCAGACGTCTTGCTACTCGCTCTGCAAATGCTACAGATTGATGCCTAAGTTGGATTTCAATTCAAGAGATAGTATAGTACCGTAGCTACAGGCACTTGGGGACCTGGTTAGCCAAGACTATCAAGTTTCCTATATCAAGTGGAGTGGAGGCTTTGAAAATGAGATGTCAGTGCTCCATCCAGTCATGTTGCTTAGATGAAAAATCATTTCAGCGTAAGGACAGCAATTATGGGTATTGCGTTTATGGGGTACAAAGGTTACTGTAATTATACCCCACTCTTCATAAAAAACCTACAAGCTGGGTCCAACAAAGACTGGAGAAATACCACAAAACAAAACTCAATCAATACAAACATGCATTCAATACAGACATTCCACAGGTAGCAAAAACTAGTGGGCCTGTGTAACCAATCACTTGCAGCCATCTGTCAGACCAGCAACCCGAATAATATTTTCTGATGCTGCAGACAGCAACCAGTCACATCACATGGAGCTACCACATGCCAGATCAGACAGCTGAGGAGGCGAATGAGATGCTGCAAGTGAGTGAGTGAGGGAGATGAGGAGTGAGTGGGTGGGGGAGATGAGGGCGTGAGAAGCAGGGCCCAAAATTCAAGGGTGTTTTACCCTTTCTACCCTTGCTATGGGCCGCTTTTCCAGGATTGCCCTGGTTTAGTACGTGTATTTGCCAAACGGCCCTGACTGTAAAAATGTAGTTTTTGAAATACACTTTCAAAATCAGGCCTCCCCGAGTTTTCCCCTGACGAGTCAGGATACTTTTTGAAATGCACTGAAACAGACTTCCTTCGTGTCGTTTCTGTGCAACAGGGCCCGTGTGGCCACTCGACCGAGATTGGTTACAAAACTGGCCCCAGCAGTCACTTTCGCACTGTCAGCTCTACAAAACACACCACACCACAAGTATGAGGTAGTGGCATTTGGATTTTGCTCTTGCATTCAGGGTGGTTCCATAAATACCCTTACGAAGACAGAATACTGGCCAAAACACACTGATTAGCACTGGGCAATTTTTTTCTCACCCTGACTGTCAGGCAAAGGGGCCAGGGGGACCCTGATATGGCAGGGTGCCCCGAAACCAATTTTTGGCCCTGGTGAGAAGCACTGAATCGACTGACATGAGCAGCAGTCACATCACATGTAGCTACCACATGCCAGATCAGACAGCTGAGGAGGTAAATGGGATGTTGCAAGTGAGTGAGTGGGGGAGATGAGAGAGTGAGTGGGTGGGGGAGATGAGGAGTGAGTGGGTGGGGGAGATGAGAGGAGTGAGTGGGTGGGGGAGATGAGGGAATGACAAGCACTGAATCGATTGACATGAGCAGCAGTCACATCACATTAGCTACATGCCAGATCAGACAGCTGAGACGAATGAGATGCTACAAGTGAGTGGGTGGGGGAGATGAGGAGCGAGTGGGTGGGGAAGTTGAGGAGTGAGTGGGTGGGGAAGTTGAGGAGTGAGTGGGTGGGGAAGTTGAGGAGTGAGTGGGTGGGGAAGATGAGGGGTGAGAGGGGAAAGGTCAGGGGGGGGGGCGGGGAGGGGGGGGGGGAGGGGGATGTGGGGTGGTTAGAGAGAGGGAGACTAGGGTTGATGAGGCGGTAGTAGGGGAGGGGAGGGAGATGAGGGGTGAATGATTGTAAGTGTTGTGCATGATGTTGCTGTGACTGATATTGCAGCGGGGAGAAAGGACGAGGGTAAATGGGGAGCGGGGGTTGAGCAGTGAGTGTGGGGGGAATGGGGGGAGAAGGGGGGAGGGAGAGAGATGGGGAACGAGGGCCGAGCGGAGGGGAGATGAGGGGTGGATAAACGGGGAGAAAATGTGAGAGCGGGGAGATAAGACGAGAGCGCAGGGAAATGAGGGGAGAGTGGGGGGAGATGAGGGATGCGAAACGTTTCTGGGAGATTAAGGGGTCAGTGGGGAGGGGAATGAACGGAAAAGGGGGGATTTGGGGGGGGGAGAAGAGGGAGGGGAGGATGGGGAAAGAGATGGGGCGATGAGGGAACAAGGGAAAGAGGGGAACAAGAGGGGTATGAAGAGGGGGACGCTTGAGGGAGATTAACGGGTCAGCGGGGAATGCGGCACCTGCCATACCCGCACTCCCGCTCTCCTCTTCTCAAAAACAGAAATGCGGCACCTGCCATACCCGCACTCCCGCTCTCCTCTTCGTCAGGTCCCGCTCTACCATCGCCGCCACCTACGCCATTGGCGCTACCAGCGCCACCGACGCCACCCGCGCACCACGCCAGGGATCAGGAGCCTGCCATACCCGCTCGCTTCCTCGTCACCGTCGCCACCGTCGATACCGTCGCTACCATCGCCTTACCGTCGCTACCGTCGCCTTACCTTCGCTACCGTTGCCTTACCGTCGCTGCTCGTGCCTCCGCATGACAAGCCTCCACCAGTAAAAGCTACTAACGCGCGCGCAAATCGAGGCTATTAATCCGTCCACATACGAACATCTAGAGCGCGCAACTAAACGTACGTTATCATGATCTGATACTACTTACTTATTACGGCACTATACGTTCGAAGCGGCGGGCACCGGAGTGCGACTTACACGTCTGCGAAGACATGACTCATGGATCCAAGAACACGATGCGAGGCTACACGTAATACTAACTAACGCGCCTTGATCTCACCGAACGAAACATAATCAGGCAGCAATACAAAGATTATGGTGCCGGGAAAATCCTCGCTGGCTTGATCGGACGGGACTAAGGTAAGGAGATGTAAGTCACACCCTCGCAACTAGAACTGGACTAAGTCGTAACAACAAAATTAGGTATGGCAGGTGAAAATTGTGAGGTTCGGGTTGTTGATTCAATACGGTGGTGGTTGTGCGAGGGTGACAAAAACGCACTTCATTCCTATTGGCTAGCACAAATCCTTCCCGATCAACCTTATCTTTTCAACTGCCCAATCCAACTTCGGAGGGCCAAAATGAGCCCAGAATAAACTTCCTGCGCCACGCACGAACGAATTTCCTACCACGCCACCGCCGTCCCGCAGCTCACGCAAAAGTTTCAAATATTCAGAAAAGTGCCACGTCCACAGCCTCCTAGAAAGTTCTAGCCTGCCCTAGCCCGACCAGAGCTCCACACCAGCGCTGCTCAACAAAACGACCCCACAAGGATACGCGCCTTCAGCAGATTTGTTAGCAGGAAAACAAGGAAAGAAACAAAACAGAACTTGCTAGCGTGTGAAAGGAGTTCACTACTTTGGAAGGAACTTGGATGACGTCAGCTCAAAATTTTTGGCCACATCGAAGAGTCACCCCCAGCATTCTCCACGAGCCGCTCAGAATTTCCCCTCGAAGGAATTTTCTGATCTGACATTTCCTAGGCGGGGAATTTCTTGCCCCACCGCGCGCAGGCCGTCACAAGCACAGCCCCATCACATGCCGCGGCAAAATCTTCGCCGTTGCTGCAGCTACTCCACCACCATCCGTCCATCCATTCACATTGCCTCTCTCCCCGCACCGCGCAGCCCAGCAGACTGTCATTCATTACCGTACTCAACCAGCACAAAAGGAGCCGCGCCATGCTGCACCGACTGCACTCAGCCATCGCATTTGGGTGGTCCCCGCGCTAAGACGAACCGCGCGGCCGCCAAATTCCAAACTCAACAATCGAGTTCTTTCATCCTGCTTTTGCAGACAACTCCTCTTCCATCAAAACTTTCCAAGTCTCATTCTCAAC